TTTTTTTTTTTTTTTTTTTTTTTTTTTCATTTTAATTTAATTTTAGTTTTAGTTACTTTGTTACGTTCTGTCATTTTTTTTTATATTTGTATACTAATTTAACTTATTTTTATTTCAGCTTTAGTTTTAGAAATTTTAGTACTTCAACTTCAACTTATTTCAGTTAGTTGCCAAGGCAGCATGCATTCATAATTTTCATTTTAGTTTTTCCATGTAATATTTATATTTTATTTAATTTCAAAACATTTAGTATGTGCTTAAAAATCAAACATTGGTTTTTATTTCAACTTTATTTCAACTAACAAAAAATATTTTTATTAGTTTTACTTTTAATTTTAGTTAACAATAACAGTGCTATTCTGAATTGTTATTTTAGTATCATTGAGATAATTTTATAGTTTTTATTAACATTTTGAATCAGTTTTAGTTTCAGTATTTTTATATTTTCCATTGTCATTTTCATTTTAAAGTTTTAGTAAATTGGTTGTGTGTTTTTGTCATTTTTAGTAGTTCATGTATATATGTGTGTGTGTGTGTGTGTGTGTGTGTGTGTAAGTTTTAGTTTGTAGTTATTTTAGTACATCACGTTAAACCAAACCATCACCTTGGCAACTAGCTGAAATAAAAAAGTTTTTATGTTTTATTTTATTTCAATAAACGTTGATTTTATTTCAAGTAACAAAGATTTTTTTTGAAAAACTTGAAAAACACTGCCATTCTGACATTTGCTTTTGATTGGGCTGTTGCTGTCTTGTGTTCAGAAATGCATCTTCCTCTCTTTCTGTACACCAGCCACCCATCAGTGTGAGTCTCATCAGTGGCAGTGTGCCAATAAGCGCTGCATCTCTGGGGCCTGGCAGTGCGACGGAGAGAACGACTGCGGCGACGGATCCGACGAGGATCCCGCTCACTGCTCCAGCAGGACCTGCAGACCCGGACAGTTCAAGTGCAGGAACGGCCGATGCATCCCGCAGAGCTGGAAATGTGACGTGGACGACGACTGTGGCGACAACTCCGACGAGCCCATCAACGAATGCAGTGAGCTGCTGACTCATTACAGCATTATAATGCATTTGTGTTGTTGTTTAATTAGTTTAAATTAGAGGAAGAAAAAGGTATGCAGTATGAAGTGAAATTAAATCTCTTTTCTCAGTCTTTTTTGTTGTTGTTAGTCATCTGTGTAATGTGGTTTGCAGTGGGTCCGGCGTACAGATGTGACAATCACACAGAGTTTGACTGCAGGACAAACTACCGCTGTGTTCCTCTGTGGGCCGTGTGCAACGGACACAACGACTGCAGGGACAACAGCGACGAACAGAACTGTGGTGAGACATCAAACATCACACGACTGAAAACATGACTACGAATGTATAGATTTGTATGTATAAAATGTATATATTTATTAATAAAATAGTAAAGTAATAGTAAAGGTAGTAATGTTAAAATTATTAATAAATCATATTTAAACATAAAAAATTACTATAAAATTATACAAAATTTATTACATGACTGAAAACATGATTCAGGGTTAGCAGTGCTTGCTTACAACTAAAAAATATAGATATTTATTAATAAAATAGTAAAGTAATAGTAAAAGTACTAATATTAGAATGATGAAAAAATTTAAAATTACTATACAAAAATCGATTAAACAAAAATTACTCTGTGTGACCATTTTTATTCAGAAACGGATATTAAATATTAATTGTAGATATTAAAATTATTTTAATCCAATTTAATCTAGCTTTCTAATAAACCTGGCATTATATATTATGAATATTGATGGCTCGGAGATGAATTGCTTTGGATAAAAGCGTCTACTAAATGTATAAATGTAAATATAAATTAAAATATAAAATAAATTTTTTTTAAATGATTTGCAGCATTATTATTCAAAACATGACTCAGTGTATCATAAAAATAGTAAAGTAATATTAGAATTAATAATATTAAATAAAAAATTTAAAAGTAAAAATGATTAGAAAAAGAATTATTAATTAAAAAAGGGTATATCAGTATAGTGATCCATTTGCTAAAAATCTATTTTTGCCTTATCCGGCTTTTAGTTTTTTGTATATTAACATAAAAAACGTTTAAAACAAATTGTAAAATTGGTTAGGAAATTGGGAGTTTTTTAAATTGTCTTTTTTTTATTAAGAATTAAATATAGGCCTATGCAATGCTCACTTTTTAAAATCCAATCAACAACCTATAGAATCAAGTCCCATCCTACTTTTTTCCTTGTTTGATAAGCCGTTTCACTCAGAAAAACACCAAAAAGTTGGACGGAGTTTCCATTTCATGCTGACTTCAACAAAAATGCCTAAAATTGACTAAAATAACTCAAATCACATTCAATGATTGAAAAGCTTCCCACATCACCTTTAAATTTCAGTCAAATTCAGTAAGATGAGTCTGTAGTGTTGTAGTGTCAGTGATGTTGCGTGTTTGTCATGATGGATTGAAATCATGAGGAGTTATTGGTCCTCTCACACTCCAGCGCTACATTAGTGAGTGTTAGTTCAGTCTGTCTGTGATGGACGGGCCCTCGGTGACCCTTCCTCCTGTCTGGGGTCACACCACTGATTCATGTGCGTGTTGGGTATGTCTGTGTCAGGCACCAGTGTGTGAGCAGCTGTGGTTTCAGGAAGGATTGAGAGGTTTTTACTCAAATTTTACTGGTCTGTTGTCAGTAATCTGACCGATGTACATTCACACACACACACACACACACACACAGGTAGCCCCGGTTCTCCCAGGTCTTATCAGCTCCCTCTCGCACCATTAGTGCCATCCTGCACAGAGAGGAGAGATCGCCCTAATCTGACTGTAAGAATGTGCCGCCCGCGTCAGGTGGGGCACTGCTGAGTGTGTTTGTTCATCTCCTCCTCTTCCTTCCTTTCCTCTGTCCACCGTAATGTGCATATTTTCTGCCTCATTACCTCCTATCCTCTCATTTTCTCCTCCCTCTTAATTTTCTTGTCCTCTTGTCTCATTTCACCTCACTTTCTCTTCTTTTCTCCTCTTGTTGTCTCTTCACGTTGCACTCATTCTGCTTTATTTTTCCTCCTCCTCTCTAGGGCTGTGCGATTTGGGATTTATTTAAACCGACTGTATAATGATGAAAAACCACAAATATGACGGGTATAATTAAAATACGCAAATTCCTTCAGCACACATTTCCGTGTAATTTTGCGATTGCGATTTGATTTGCGATTTTAAATTTGCAAAGTCAAGCTTCAGCTCAATATTGTCAATAATGTGCAGCACAGTATGGGTATCATTACCCTGCTGAAAAAAACAATAGAAACCATCACAGAAAATCTTATAGTTTCCATTAAACCATTACATAATTCCTTTTTGTTTTGGGCATTATTCCAATAGGAATTACTGTTGTTCTATTATAATCCCACTCTGTCTCTCTCCCGTCCCGCTTTCTGTTTTTATTTTTTATTTTTTTAATGGTGGGTGTTTACGCAGTTGGCTAGAGCAGTGCTGATTGGGGAGAACGGAGGTGCGCTCACTCTTGCACAGGGCAAGCAAGACTGCAACTCAAGGCTGGCAGTCATGCATATGCTCTGGAACAGAGTAATATCGCGTCCACATCGCAGGCTTTGCGATTAGCAAATCGCAACGTCTCAAATCGCGATTTCGATTCGATTTCGATTAATCGCACAGCCCTACTCCTCTCTTATCATTTTACCTGGTTTTGTCTCCCTCGTCTCATTATATCTCACCTTTTCTCCTCTCTTCCCATTTTCTCATCTCATCTCACCTCTCCTCATCTCCTCTCTTTTTAAGTTCTCTTGTTTTTCTTCTCTTCTCGTCTGTTTTTTAACTCTGCATTCTTCATGTAGGGTTTCTGCAGGTCGTAAAAAGTATTAATTCTCCCTTTCACAAATTAATACCTTAAAAAGGTCTTAAATCAGAGCAGAAAGTTTTAAATTCATAAAGTGGTGGCATTAAAAGTGGCATGCACTGCAAAAAATGAATATCTTCCTTTTTTTCCAGTACAAATACCTAAACATCTTTAAATCAAGATTCATACTTGAGATGCAAAAGGATATGAAGTTATGAGAAATGTCGTCTGAGAAATGTAATAAAAATTAAGTATGTTTATACTTAAAACAAGAACAAATATCTGCCAATAGGAAA